TGTCATCCAAAGTTCACGTGTTGGCAACCTAATCTCCAATGTGCCAGTGTTTCAAGGAGGAAGCTTTAATTATGTTGCTATTTAGGCAATGAGTTCCTTCTAGGAGAGTGTGTTGGTGATAAAAAGCAAGTGAGCCCTTCTCTGGATCTCCCATATTCTTTTGCCCTTCCACCTTCCATCATGGGATGATGTACATGTGTGGGCCCTTGATAACAAATTTCCCAGTCTCTAGAATTATAAGAAATAAATTTTTGTTCTTGAAAAATTACCCTGTCTTGGGTATTCTGATATGGCAGCACAAAATGGACTAAGACAACCACTAAGACACGTGTCTCGCCTGCTCTCATTCTGTCACAAGTATACAGTTGACTTTTCCAGAAGCTACACAATGTGTGTGCATCACAAGGACAACGTACAGGCGGGTTGAGAATCTAGCTGCGTTCCTGTAAGCCAGACATTGGCAAAGATTGAAAACAACACTATACTTCTTGCTAATTTTTTTGTTTTGGAGAACATATTTTTCATAATCTGTTTATGGAATATGTAATGTGATTACTGGTTTGTTTGGTTTTTTTCTTTTTTGGTACCGGGGATCCAACTCAGGTCCTTGCGCTTGCGCAGCAGGTGGCGAAACTACTCAGCTAAATCCCCGGCCCATTATTGTTATTTTTAAGTGAATTAAATTAGTATTTAGCAACATCTCAGTTTTAATTTCTAATATGGTGATCTATATGCCCCACACATAAAAGCTATTTGAGGCTTGCAATACTTTCAGGAGCGGAGTGCGGTCCTTACAGCCTGGTAACGGCCCCGCCCCTTCTTCAAGCTCTGACTTCCTGTCTCCGGCTACTTGCTGGGGTCAGTGCCCTCCTCCCTCACTTGCTCTTCTGCTCTTGCCCTCTCAGGGTGTTCTCACACCCAGTCCCTCACCAGCACCCTAGGCACCCACACCTGCGTGGACCTTCTACATGCCCTCACCGCCAACCCCGAAGTCTGTTCTGCCCAGGGTTCCCAGTGTGCTGGAGTCTGGTGACTATCACTGACTCCTTCAAGACGTGCTGCCCGCCTCGGTGGGCCTGCAGACCTCACACAGCCCTAACAGACTCCTCCCAGGCCCTGACGCTTTCCTTCAAGTCCTGGTTTATAGTATTTTCCACTCTTCTTTCTTTGTTAACTAATGTATGTTTGCAATACATACCAGTTGCATTTGTTTGGGGAAAAATATATATGGATCCTCTTGATCTTTTCTATTGCTTTACCTCCTACCCTACCCTCCCTCCTTCCCCTGATCCTCTTCCCCATCTCCAAAAGTTCTGCCTCCCTGATTCTACCATCTCTCCTTTATTTTACTCTTAATTATATTTTGGGTTTCTCTTAAGAGAAAACATACGATATTTAACTTTCTGTGTCTGACTTATTTCAGTTACCATTACAGTCCCAAGATCCATCTATTTTGGATGGATCCATCCAAATGAGATGATTTCTTCTTCTTTATGGGTGAGTAAAATCCCCCCCATATATGACATTTTTTTCTTTATTCTTTTATGTTGATGGGTCTCCAGGCTGTTTCCATAGTTTAGATATTGTGAATTGTGCTGCTGTAAACATGGAGGTATGCATGTAACATTATAGTATAATGTCTTAACTCTTCTTGGGAATATACCCAGGAGAGGGACAGCTGGATCAAATGAAATTTCTACTTTTAGTTTTCTGAGAAATCTCCATACTGATTTTCATAGAGGTTGTACTAGTTTACATTCCCAACAACAATGTAGAAGGGATCTCTCTCCCAGCATCCTCACCAGCATTTGTTGTTTTTGTGCCCTTGATGATAGCCATTCTGACTGGGTTAAGATGGAATCTCAGAATTGGGTTTTTTTAATTAAAAATTTTTTTTTGGTTTTTTTTAGACAGAATCTTGCTGCATAGCCCAGGCTAATCTTGAACTCACCATTAGTCCAGGCTAGCCTCAAACTTGTGGCATTCCTCCTGCCTCAGCCTCCCAAGTGATGAGATTACAGGCATGTACTACCAGGCTCAGCTGTTTTGATTTGCATTTTCCTAGTGCATAAAGATGATGAACACTTTTTTTCATGTATTTACTGGCCATTTGTACTTCTTCTTTTGAGAAATATCTATTTAATTCACTTGGCCATTTTTGCATTGGGTCATTTGTTTTCAGAGGGGTTTTATTGGTTTTTTTTTTTTTTTGGTACCAGGGATTGAACTCAGGACCTTGCACTTTCGAGGCAGGTGCCAGAACCACTGAGCTAAATCCCCAGCCCTTTTGGTTCTTTATATATTCTGGATAATAATCCTCTATCAGAAAGGTAGCTGACAAATTTTTTCCCATTCTGTAGGTTGTCTCTTAACTCTGTTGAGTGTTTCCTTTGTTCTGCAGAAGGTTTTTAATTTAATATAATCCCACTTGCCGATTCTTGGTATTACTTATTGTGCTGTTAGAATTATGTTCAGTTAAGTTCTTGCCTATGACCTCAAGTGTTTCCCCTATATTGTCTTCTAGCAGTTTCAATGTTTTTGTTTTTATATCTAGGCCTTTTATCCATTTTGATTTGATTTTAGTGCAGGGTGAGAGATATAGGTCTAGTTTCATTCTTCTGCCCATGGATAATAGTTTTGCCAGCACCATTTGTTAAAGAGGCTCTCTTTTCTCCTGCATGTTTTTGGCCCCCTTGGCTGAAGGTGTATGGGGTTGTTTCTGTGTCTTCTGTTCCATTGGGTTACATGACTATTTGAGTGCTGGTACCACACTGTTTCTCTTACAACAGGTTGTATACTTGTAACTTGGGATCTAGAATTGCGATGCCTCCTGCTTTGCTCTTTTTGCTCAGGATTACTTTGGCTATTCTGGGTCTTTTCTGTTTTCATACAAGTTTTAGGATTACTTTTTTCTAGTTTTATGAGGAGTGATGTTGGTGTTTTAATAGGAATTGTGTTAAATCTATATGTTGCCTTTGGTAATGGAGCCATTCAATTCTTCTTTCTTTTGGGGGACCTCTGGTACATTAAACTATGTTGACCATAGTCCTGAGTTTATGACACATAGATGTCATTTGTCTATACATGGCCCTCTTGTTTGCTTTTCCTTTCTCATCCACTGTGCCCGTTTTCACTTTCTTCCTCACACAAACACTGACTCTAGTGTATTTATGTTAGTTTCCTCCAATCCATCTTCCATAAATATATTTAGGTTTTACTGCTCAAGAAAAATAGTGCTGTTTTACATGTGGGCTTCTAAATTTGCATTTAATGGCACTGGCTCTAAATTTCCTCCAAGAGGATTTCTGAGCTTTGTCCATGCTGCCATATGTAAACCTGCTGACTGCTCTTACTGCTGCAGGGGACCCTACTTCAGGGTGGCCTTCAGTTAGTCCGTCTCTCTGATGCTCCGTTTTCTCATCAAACAAAAAGACTGGTGGCAGTAAGATGTCCCTTTCCAGAATTACTGCAGAGATCAGTACTTCAAAGTTTTGCCAACTGTGATTTTAGTTCTTTGCCATCACAAATGGCACTGTGAAGAATGACACCTTTGTAATGCCCCCCACTCCCATCTTTCCTGTTCCAGTCTTGAAGGCCCACCAGGACTCCATAAATTGGGGGCTGTTATCACTACTATGTAGGGAGGGCCAAGAGCACAGGATCCAGTCTAGAAGGCGTGTGTTTCCTGGCTGTGCTACCTTGGGTGGACCACTTAAGGTCCTGGAGACTTGCTTTCTCTTAAGACAGTAAGGACATCACACCTCCTCCTTCAGAACATTGCTGTGGGTGAATGATGGCATAGAAGCAAGTACTCTGTAAAAGAAGGGTTCCCTAGTCTGCTTAGTTGTAGTTGTTGTTAAGTAGCATAGAAAAGACAGGAAGAGGAGCTCAAGTCAGGAAGTTAGGAAGGAGATGGGCACACACACAGAGTACCTTAAGATGACCTAGTGGGCTGGTGACCTGGGTGCTAGGTCCCACAAGCATCATAACAACAGACTGGGCCCCCTTGAAAACTTTAGTCAATGAATCAGGGGCCTTGAGTCAGGAGACCCAGCTAACTTGATATCCTTGCTGGCTGTGCAGTCACAGGCACAGCGCTCACCCTACTGACCTCAGAGTCCCTTGGGGAGCATCAGTGAGTACAGACACTGTGCCCCACCTCTGTCAAGTGGTTCCTTGCTTTCTGGAAGTAGGGGCTAAGCCTTGGAGTAAGCAGCACTAATGTTGTGTAGCCCTGTACCAATCTTAGGCTTTTTTCTGTCAGCTCATCTTACTCACCACAAGATGGCAACCACTTTCTGAAAAATCTTCTATGTTCACAAAAATAGTAACATCCATTTTCTGTATTAAGCAACCCTGAAACAGTTTAATGACCTTCTTTACCATCTCATTATGCCAGAATCTTGTCCCCTCAATGTGCAGCCATTTACCATGTATCTTTTCCTTTCTGCTAGACACCACTGGGTTGGGATGAGTCTTCAGTTTTGCATTTCTCAAAGCAGAGAGCAGGCATTGATTGCTAACTTATGGTCATAATCATTGGTAGCAAGAACTTCTAATATTCTTTTAATCCTTTACCATTTGCAGAGTGCTTTTAACCAACTACCTTCAGAATTATTCTGTGAAATGGACATTATTATTCCCAGTTATAAGATGAAAAAACTAAGATTCACAGCACTATCTTGTTCAGTCACAAAGTAATAATTACAAAAGAGAATTTTCCAATTCCAGATTGTGATCTCTTCCCACTGTAACACAGAGATTACAGTCAACTTAGTGCTGAGGTCCAGGGAAATATGGTCCTGAGACAGGAAACTTCTCGGGACAACCTCTGGAAGATTGCCTAAGTAAGCAAGAGGACAGACAAATGTCATCCTAGAGCTTCATGCTATCAGACAAAAGGTCAATGGACAGACATGTCTGGCTGAACCATGTGACCAGCTGAGCTAATAGCTATGAGGTTTCTAGGGAGTTGCTGGACAGAATGATCAGGCACTTAAAAAGAGGATAGATTTTTATTATTTCTCATTTTCTGTTCCTGAAAATGAACTGCTATATGGTAATGGGGAAACCAATCTTAATTCTGCCTTAATAAAGAGCTGTAAACTCATTTCCAAAGAAAATCCTTTTCTACCAGCACCACTGTCTTATGAAATCAGTGGATCTAACAAAGATAATTTATAAGATCACTTACAGACAAATTCCTGTAACTGACCAGGAGCCCAAGTATCAGATATGGCATGTTTTTATATCAGATGAAGGGGCTGAACATGTAGGTTCAGGTTCCATGGACTAAGAATGCTGTTTACAGGACAGAGGCAATGAAATGGAAAGTTTAAAGAATTGGTGTTTTTATAATTTATTGATTCCAATGCGCACCTGAAAACATTCTGTTCTAGCCATTTTCTGTGCCTCAGCTTCCTGTCTGGAAAATGGGAATAACTGTATACCCTACTTCCTTTGTGAGGAGCTACCATATTGTTTCCTGGTAATGGCTAATCATTAAGACTTTCATTTCATCTTCTAGCATGCTATTTTATGAAACAGACTTTGTAGAGAGGAGATGAGGGTGAAGATGTACCATTTCAGCCACCATGGTATTCTTATTTGCCCTCTTGACACCTTGGCCAAGCCCAGTGAATGCCTCCCATATGCCCCACTCCCACTCAGAAAGCCTCTTCCACTGTGGCTGATCTCATCAGGCCCAGGGAGGGGGGAAGGAGCCTGGGCAGGGGTGGTGGATAGGGAAAGAGGAGGACAGCAATGGGCACACATTCCAGTTATGTGAGTGGAACTTGCACTAGTTTTACACCACAGAAACAATTATTTTAAAAGATGGTTAAGTTTCCTAGCACCGAAATTATAGGGCAGCTATACTGAGAGTTACATAGGCTCCTGTGCATTTAACCAGGGCCTTACCTAACATTATGTAATTATGTCCGTGGAAAATGAATTTTTCCCCAAATACCTGACCTCAAGTAAACTTTTACAATAGAATTTCAGTGGGTCACTATTCTATATACACCCAAACACTCAGGGGCTGTCCCCTTTTCTGTCCATCTGTCTGCTTAAGCATTCAGACAATCTTTTTATTAAAGTATAGAATAGTTACCAAAGACATATGAAAAACATAAAGCTAAGATTCAGGGATGAACGAGTGGCTTAATAGTAGAGTGCTTCCCTAGTATGCATGAGGCCCTGAATTCAATCCCCAGCAATCAAAAAAAGAAAAAAAAGTCAAGACTTAAAGATATATTTGAGCTCAAAGCAATGGTTCTGATGTAAATGTATCTTCACTGAGTTTTTAAAAAAGAATATTAAACATGATCTCTTTTTTATAGTGAGAGTAGGAGGCAGTGTAGTACAAAACATGGCACATTTTGAAGTTATAAATTGTGCCTCCATTTCCTTATCCATAATCAAGGATGGTTACATTCATTTCCTAGGATTACTTTTTAAAAACTGAAATAATGTAAATATTGAGTGTTAAATCTGGCACAGAGTGGTTATTTCCCATCCTCTCTCCTTTTACTTAAGCTCTTTGGAATTCCCTGTATTTTACTCCTATAAAAATATTTTGAAACCACATTTATTTTTCAGAAACCCTCATTTAAACTTTTCTCTATGCTTGGGACCAAGTCTCTATGCTTGACTTAAATTGGTAAAGGTCCCAAATTAACTAATGTGAATGGATTATTGGATAATAAATAGGTTTGACGAGTACACTTAGGTTGACAATTGCAGTCATTGTCTGAAATGACTCACCTATGCCTACTGCCTCATCCTTGTTTTCATAAGACTTGTGCATTTTTCTTTTTCTTTTTTGAGGAGAGATTTAAGATTCTCCTAGCTTCGACCAATATCCTTTCTAGTAATAACAGCAAAGCCAGGATTTACTTAAAGAATAAAGGAATGATTTCAATGAGGGATAAATTAGATTTTATTTAAAGAAGATTTGTCAAGTGTTCCTTCCTGTTTTCTGTTAGGCCCATCTCTCTGCAGAATCAGCAGCAGGGTGGGGAGTGTTGTCCTGCAATTAGAACCAGTATGGATGAAGAGAGGGCAGGAACCTGCTGTCTGTTGCGTTCTAATGGTCTCAGATGCACAGGCATTGTGAACATCTGCTCTCCTCTTGGCAAGTCAGCAATTCCGCCTCCTCTAGACACAGCCACTGGTCCCCTTCCTGGTACCTGCCCTCCTACTGGCTGTCAGGAGTCAGGGATCTGCCTGCAGATCTGCCTCTCAGTTAAAATTTGACACTTGCTCCTGACTTGATGGTGTCATACTCCTCCATTTACCCAGGCAGGCATTCTGTGACTGGATGAGATCAGGTCCTGCCTGCCAACCTTGACTTCAGGGTTAAAAAAATACTTTCACCAGCCTGAGGAAACCATTATATAGAATTCATAGCCAAAACCCAAGAAAAATCATACATATCAGACAATATTCTAATGTGCTATTCCCTTCAGTTTATAGTAAGATTAGAAAGCTTGCTTTGTTTTGAATTTAAAAAAAAGAAAGGACATATGTCTAAGGTGCAACAGCCACGTAGCCAAAGCACAGAGACATCTGGACATCTTGGATTTACAGTGTGTTTGTGTGTTCAAGGTTCATTCAGGTGGTTTAATGTAAAACTTAAATGTCTGGTTTTACAGTCATTTTCAGGAGTGATGATTTTTAAATTTTGTGGTGCAGAAGTAAGGCCAAACAAATAGGAAAAACAGACCTATAAAAATTATAAGAAGTCTTTAACTTACTAATCCACTACATCTTTGACAGCAATTTTAGATGACAGTGGTCCAGAGGACAAAGTGCATAATTGATGATGAGGAAATGATTCCTTCAAGTCTCACAATACAGAGTTCTTCCTGCATTAATCATTTGTCTAGTTTTACTCATGTGAAAGAGACAGTTACTTCTTGCTTCTGTCTCCTTCATTCCAGTACTGTTCAGTCTGCATTTCTGTGAGTCGGGAAATGGTGCGCTGAAATGCAAAGATTTCCTCTTCTCCGGTAAACATGGAGAGTCCTTCTGCTGCATCCTGGTTACAAATACAAGTAAGCAAACAAACACAAATCCAGCACCAATTTCAACTACCCCAAATAGAAATTTAGATAGCTAAGTATATGCTTAAAAAAGACTTTAGGTTTACCTATTTAAGATTATAAAATTTTCTGTACATTTTTTCATATGTAACCTCTTAAATTACATTAGATCAGTCAACTAATCTAAATTTATAAACAATAAGCATATCAAATTACTAAAGATAAAACCTAAAAGGGGCCAGGGATTCAGCTTAGTGGTTTCAATGCCTGCTACGCAAGCGCAAGGACCCGAGTTCGATCCCCGGTACCAAAAAAAACCTAAAAGAAAAACATTTGAAGAATAATTGAAGCTGAACCAATACTACCACACCCAAATATGAAAGGTTTTGTTCAGAATTAAAGTTCTCTGCAAAACCCAAAGGAATATTCCAGATAGAAAAGGAATTCTTTCTCCTCAAGTACACACACACCAGAAATAAGTAATGACAATAACAGTAGCTCAGCTGGGCTTCAACAGGACAGACATGGCCTCAGAAGCTTCATAGATAGGGATCTACTGCCTGAGGGGAGTCCCTGAGCACAAACCTCTGAAGAGCCTCTTCCAAACTGGGAGACTGAAAAGCCCCAGTGGGTCCCCGGGAGGCTGGTAAACAGGCTGTGACTGATGATACCAACATGAGCTCATGGCCACTAAGTGGACTTTGAATTTCTCTTTCTTTCCATAGGGGTTTGCTATTACGCTATTTAGGAAAAAAAAATATTCTAGCCTCTTAAGTCCACCTTCCCCATGACCTGCAAGTCACATTTCCCTGATTTCTTCTTATATGACTGACCCCACTAGCTGAGCTTACTTTGTGTCTAAATCCTGATTTTAGGGCCTATGACAGTGATGGCGAACCTTTTAGAGCTTTCAATGATAACAAACAGCTGGCTCCAGCACACGTGCCATAGGTTCACCACCATGGGCCTATTGATTTAAAAGAAACCGATTTAATGTAGTACCTCAAGTGTATTCTTTTGAATTGGATGTAAGCATTACTCTTGGAGAACTTACATTTAAAATAACCCGAGTCCTAGAGTTTATAAGCAGCTTTTTCTACACTGCCAAGTTCTGAAAGTACCAAAATTTGTGTGCTAAAACCCTAACCCCCAAGATGATGGAATTAGGGGTAGAACCTTTGGAATTCATTAGGTCTTGAAGGTGGATCCTTATAAAGGATTGGTCCCTTTATGAAGGAGGGCCAGAGAGACCCTTCTGCCCCATGTGGCTTACATTAAAAAAAAAGAGCAGCATACAAAACAGAAAGCAGGTCTTTACCAGAAGCCAAATCTGCTGCTTTGATCTTGAGCTTCCCAGATTCCAGAATTCTGAGAAATAAATTTCTCTTGCACATAAGCCTCCTACTTTATGGTATTTTGTTAGAGTAGTCTGAACAGACTAAGATACAGAGGTTTAAATAATTATATTTTGAAAGTTCACTTCATAAAGAATCGTTGGCTTCACTCTCCCACACTCCTGAGAATATATAATTTCTACTCAGTTCAATAAAAAACAGATCTCCCTCAAGGGGGCTTTTGGCTTTGGGGGTAGAAGAATGGTGTCCTCATCCTTGGGGTGTGTGTTGACAGTTTTACATTTTGACTAGTATTTCAATTGTCAACTGTTGAGAACTGTACCCTATAGTATTCTTACAGAAGAAAGGAATGCAAAGTCACTTCTGCTTGGCCTGAGGTGAATCTAGACTCTAGAGAAGAGCCAGGCCAGCATCAGTTTGTTCCCTAAAGAGTCCCCAGAGCCTGGCATCAATGGTGGTTAATGAATGTTTGCTCAGTGAAGGCTGGGAAGGAAACACATTCATCTTAAACCAGAGCACTCCATGGTCCTGGGCTAGCCAGCTCACACGCTTGGATACTGTACCATGTACTACAATCCAGGCATCATGAAGAAGGTATCAGAAAAGGGAGTAGAATGAGCCTGGAACCACAGTGCCCTGGTGCCCAGCTGCTGCCCACTATTTTTTTTCCCCATTAAGTTTATTGGTACATTTTAGGTATAAAATACAGTTACATACATCATTGGGATCTTCTCATTTCTTTCCCCTTTCCCTGTCCTCCCTTCACCCCCTCCACCCTTCCCTATTTGCAAAGACTTTGTTTCCATTTTTTTCCTTTTCTCATATTTTTTCTTTTTCCTTTTTTCCTTTCCCCTACCCCTCACACTTCCCCTGCTCCTTTAGACCTTTACTTCCTATTACACAATATCAATTATACATTTTAAAAATTACAATATCAAGATCTAGGAGACATTACCACAGATTTTACAGAATTTAAAAGGATATAGAAAGCATATTAAAAAAACCTTTTTTGAAATAAATTTGACAACTTCTAAGAAGTACCTTGGAAGACAAATTAATGAAACTAACTCTGGAGGAAATATAAAATTTGAATAGCACCTATTAAAGAAAGTATATTCCTAGCTTGAAAACCTATCTGTATGACAACAGGCTCGAATACATTTTAACTGATAAATTATATCAAACATTTAAAGCAGAAAAAAAAGGAACACTTCTCCCCTCATTTTAGGAACTCAACATTGTGCTAATCCTAAAACTGGGTAAAGATAATAGAAGAAAAAAGTATGAACATAGATAGAAATTTGTTTAACAAAACAAACTCTTAGAAGTCAGATCTGGCAGTATGTAGAAAGTGGTGTTATTATAGGGATGGCAGTGTTGGTTAAGCATTGGAAGATCCACCCCCATAAGTCATCATTTTAACAGAAGAAAGGAAAAAGCTATATGATCCTGTCACTAGTTGGAGAAAAAGTATTGGACTAAATTCCACAGCTGTTCATGGTAAAAGTTATCAGGAGACTAGAAGTAGAACAGAACCTTCTTAACAGATTAAAGACATGTACTCCATACTTCCAGCAAAAATGCCTTATATGAATGGAGAAGATACAATGCTTTCTCCCTAAGGTAGGGAACAAGGGCAGATATGCCTACTCCTCATCTGTCCATTTAACTTTGAAACATAGCCCTAAACCAAAATAGTCTGGCAATAAAATGACACAATTAGGATAGGATTGGCAAGGTAGAAGCAAAATCTTTATATGTGGATGGAATGATCATCTACAGAGAAAATACTAAGAAATCTCTAGGAGCCCCTAGAACCTGTATTTGAATTTAGCAGGATTAGAAAACACAAGGTATATATAAAAATTCAGGTCTATGTATACTTGCTATAAATGAAGAATTGGATATTGAAATTTAAAAGTTATGTAGGAATACAAAGGACCTAGAAAAGTAAAAAGAAAAAGAAAAAAAAAGTGTTGGAAGACGTTTAGTACCTAATTTTAAGACTTCCTCTAGAGCTAAAATAATCAAGGCAGTCCTGCCCACTCTTATTTAGCAGTGTGACTGCAGGCCTTCAGCCACCTCTCTGGACTACATTTTTGCCATATGCAGAACAAAGTGTTAGTCTACATGGTCACTAAGGGTCTTTTACTCTAGGGTTGCCATTCTCTAAATTTAGTGATTTTGTGAATAATATTTGATATTTCTATCATTCTAAAGAATGATATTTCTTTAGAAGCAGCAAATCAACAGTTAACTATATACTGCATTTCTTCTTCAAAATGTAGCCATGTACCAAACCAAAAACAATTAAGCTGTTTTATAATAAAAAGAGATTATGTTAATATCACCTACCTGGCTCAGCCCCAAATCATCCATCAGTATTCTGCTTTGCTCCAACTCACTGTCATGATGTTGATGCAAAAATAAGCTTGATATAGGAGTTGAGGCAGAGCAAATTATACGCACCTGAAACAGGGAAAATGAGTAAATGGTGTTTCTCTTTACATCTCACAAGTTGAGAGTAAGAAAAATCTCTCATATAAAAAAAGAATCTGTCACATCATGGCGCTTGCCTCTTTGCCTTTAAAACTATTTTCAAGGCCGAGGATTTAAGCTCAGTGGTGCTGCCACCTGCCTTGCCAAGTAAAAGGTCCTGAGTTCAATTCCTGGTACCAAAATAAAATAAATAAATAAAACTATTTTTAATAGTTTATAGTTAAGCAATATTTTATAACTGCCTAGTACTTTTCAAATATTTCCCCACACCTTAATACCATACTGTGAGGTAGGGAGCAAAAGTTTTATTGGGAGGCTTGCAGTCCACAGAGGTCTCAGGTCATGACATTAGCCCTGATTTTCCCATTCTAAGTCCAATGCTCTTTCCATTACTGCTACGGTTTGAATACTTGTGTCCCCTCCAAGATTCATGTTGGAACTTGGTCCCCATGCAATAGTATTAAGAGGTGGGGCCTTCGAGAGGTGACTGAACCGCGAGGGCCCTGCAGTGATCTACCCGACCCTTGATCTTGGACTTTCAGTGTCCAGACCTGGAAGAAATAAATTTTTACTATTTGTAAATCACCCAGTCTGTGGCATTTTATTATAGTAGCACCAGGAGACTAAGTCAACTACACTCTGCTGGTGACATCTGCACCTGGCCATCTGGAGCTGGTCTCTGTGTGTATCAAAGCTGCTCCCAGATGCACTGCAGAGGGTGGGGTGGGGGGGATCCCACTGCGCTGTGCAGCTGACAGCTAAGGTCGGCACATTAGTCCTCTACCAGAGCTTGAAACCAGCATTCTGGCAGAACATTCTTCAAGAAGACTGACTTTCACATTAACTTCCCATCACTACATCATCAAATGAGTGAATGGCACATGTGATCTTATCTTGGAAACAGCTTTTATATATTATATATCTGCTAGTTTAAATATAAAACATACTCCTTTCGATGTTTAAAAAATTCTGGATTTGTTTTCAGGATTCAGTTATCCTTTTAAAATCATTCTTTAAATAAATACATCAGTACTTCAAAATAACACTTCGATATTTGGAACTAGCTTTTCCATTTCCAAATGGTCTTCTGCTATTGAGACTGTCGATCCTCCAATCTCATTGGTCTTCTGCCAATGAGACTGTCGATCCTCCAATCCCAGAAGCAACCACCTACTGCACCTTTTACTTCTTGAAAGCTTCGTCCTATAAACACAGTCCCACCTCCTAGGTCACACTTTGCATTCTGGAGTCCCCTCCCCATGATTATCATGGAGCAGTCTCAGCAGAAAGCACCCACCCATAGGTGAGGGGCCTTGGTCCTGTGGCCTCTGCCTCTCCTGACTACCTGATCACATGTGTGTGGGCCACTGGGAAGCAGCAGCAAATTCTGTGGCTACTCCTAGGCCACTGCACCAGAGTCTGCACTTGCTACCTGTCATGCTCAGTCCATCCTTCCCAGGGCCTTTGCTGTAGGCACCCCACCCTAGTTATCCCTTCCTCCTGTATGCTGAGTTCCACCCTTGCAACTCTGTGCATTTATAAGAAGCACCCAAGGAGCATGTGAATAGGCAGGTTCCAGGCCACAGGTCTGGTCCTTCTGGGCTTCAGTGAGGATGAGGTGGACTCTGGAATCCAGGTCTGAAGTGCCGCCATGGTTCTGATGCAGGTGGTCCTCAGGGGACTTCTCTGTGCCCCTCCCTAGACTAGTGCTCAGTCCCTAGACTCTCTCAGCACCACACTCCTCTCTCTGTCCAAGAAGTCACCCAGCAATGGTGACTGGACTTGACTTTGGAGGATCTGGGACTCACGTGTCTCTGGCACTAGGCTACAAATTCCATGAAGACAGGCACTGTCTCTGCTTTCACTTACCACTGAATTTCCCTCACTTGACACTGGGCTTGGCATGACAAAAGGTTGCTGAATGAATGAACAAATGAAACATTAAAATTTTGCCACTCCTTGCCAGCAGCCTGTTGTCTCTTCCCCACTAAAGACTTCAATTTTAGACTTTTTGCTGTAATTTTGTATAAGAAGTGGGAAGGAAAACAATGTATCTAATGTAAAATAATGTTTAACTCTTATTCAAAATTATCCACACATCTTTACATATATTTATGTACTATTAATCCTGGCTCACCTTTATAGAGAGCTCCCTATTTGTGTGATAACATTCTTAGTGCTTTACATACTCATGTCATCCTCACAACAATCAAAGTACCATTGCTGTCTCCTTATACAGAAGGCAACTGAAGCTCACAGAAACTAATCCAGTCTTCAGAATAGACAGCCTGGCCCCCAGGCCCCTCCTCAGCCACTGGGTTACACTGCCCTTCATGAACAGACAATGGCTCTGCAATCAGTGCTAAAACATATGGATAAGACAAATGCAAAGAGTAAGATGGTATAATGCTGGTTACTGGGGTTTTTGGTCATAGGGAAACAGACCTTTGATGTTGCAGAGGATCTTTCAGTCATTCATTTGTTCATTCATTCCATCAGTTTAGCCACTTATTCAGGCAACGTGTATTTATTGAGTACTGAGACTGGGCCAGTAACTGTGTTGTGCATTATTACAGAAGATGCACGATTGTCTGATAGAATGAGGCAATCAACACAGCAAAGGGACTTGTGGTGAGAGTTTGACTACACTACTAACTGCTGCTTCTGCTAAAAGTAGCCAAATGTTGGGATAAATGTTTTAAGCACTTGACATGTATTAGCCGTGGTAGTGTACAACACTCTGAAGTAAATACTATCATTCCCCAGTTTGCAGACCAGGAAACTGAGGCACAGAGAGGTGAAATAATTAGTAGAGACAGGATTGCAGTTTAGGCCATCTGGCACCAAAGACCAAACTGTGTAATTTTTTTTTTTTTTTTTTTTTTTGGTATTGGAGATCGAACTCGGGTCCTTGCACTTACAAGGCAGGCGGTGGAACAACTGAGCTAAATCCCCAGCCCCAAAATGTGTAATTTTGAAAAAATATATTATCTCCTTACCTTGAAGTCATAAAAATTATCAATGAGAGTTATGAATCTTCGAGCTTGAGTCCTCTTTGCCAGTGTAAATTGTGGAATGTCCCGTAAAAATATTGTATCAAAATTCCTTGACAGTTCCAAATAGTCACTGGCTCCAAGTGGCTATAGTTAAAACAAAATAAAGAAAAGAAAAGAAAAATAAACCAGTGCTGGTCACCTTTGGGCTGGTGTAATTTAAAAACCTTTTCATAGTGTGATGTAGGTGGTAACTTTAGAGTAACCTGACCACATAGGGCAGTGTTTTCAGAGCAGGCTAAGAAAACAGCGTGTGCAATGTGTGGCCTTAACAGTGATATAGAAAGGGGGCAGGAAAGAAGCAAGGGTGTGTAGTAGGAGTCAAAGGGCATCTCTGACCATGACCTCAGTTGGTATTCTAGAGAGCCCCAACCTAAATTGAGTCTTCTATATTTTTATTTGCATGACATACTTTAAACTTAAAACATATCCTAGTAACTCTTTCTTATGACTCAACTGCTACCTGTCACTATGTTTAAGGGGGCTCATTTATAATGCCATGTGGAATATTATGCCACAATTTTGAAGTAAAGACTATACTTCAGTGTGAAGATCATCAATAATTGTTTTTAGTTTGAGGTACAATCACTCAGTTGCAATGTAGTAAACATGGTTATTCTCTGTAAGAATTCCTGGAGGGCTAGAATGAGCGGAAGTAGACTGAGACCTCAAGAATAATCCAGAGCAAGGGGCCAGGGATTTAGCTCAGTGGTTTCACTGCCTGCCTCGAAAGCACAAGGTCCTGAGTTCAATTCCTGGTACAAAAAGAAATTCAAGGACAGGCAGAGCAATTTAGTGAGATCCTGTATCTCAAAACAAAGAATAATCCAGAGCAGAATGCTACCTCTTGATAGGAGTATACAGGACTCAAGAGTCCACAAAATTATTCAGAAAAAGTGCCATCTACAGGTGGAAAGTGGTTATTCCTGTAAGATAAAATTAGCTCAGGAACATCATGAATGCTATCTGCAAACACATTTCTTGGGGGTAAGGAACATCCCCAGGAATGTTACCTCTGCTCATTTTAAGTTGTGTATGGGTGACTGCAGTCTGTTAGCTGAAAACCATGAGAAATAGCCAAGAGAGTGTTTCTGGCCTTCATAGAGTGGGGAGAAGACTAAAGACTAAGGGGCCCAGGACCAACTCTGAGGTCCCTCTGAAAGCTCCTCAGTCACCAGGACCAACCCCTAGGACACAGTGGCTGAACCACTTCAATTTCTGGCAGAATCTATCAATACTCCTCCCAGTACAGAAATGTCTTTCTCACTTGGGGGTCTTTGCCTGAAAACTTCTTTCAGAAATGATGATAAGGGAGGGCCATGGATTTAGCTCAGTGGCGGTGTGCTGCCTTGTAAGCACAAGGTTCTGAGCTCAATCCCCAGTACCAAGGGAAAAAAAAAGGAACAAAATGATGATAAGGGAGAGAACTTGGGAGTTGCAAGGAGGGCAGTCATTCTCATTTTAGCATCCATTCATGCAGGCCAATCATTATCTTTGAAACCTGCTGGAATAAGATATACTCAGGACAGGGCTTTTAGTGGAGGTGTGGAAAGGTATGAGCAAATCCCAAGAGTTAAGTTCTGGAGAAGGGGTTCCCTCAAGACAGAGCAGTTCTAAAAATACAGCACTTAAGGGACTTAGGCAAAGGGGCCGCAAACTAGACTGGAAGGGCACAGAGAATAACCAGACTCCTTTGGAAATGTGCTTAAGGTATCTCTTCCTCCCCTCTCCTCTCCCTAACAAGGTAATAAAGGGTGGCTGGAAAGATATCTCTGCCTTTACATTTTCCTTCCCTGGCTGGAGAACCCATACCTCTAGATTCTGTGCCTGACTTTGATTGGGACGAGCCATTTACCTCAGCCATGGAGGAAGGGGGCACTGTGGGTTTTGGGGGACATTTTTGTTTCAACCCTGACATTCTTCCAAGGGTACCTTGCGGTCAAGCCTGAAGGGCTAGGAGCTCATGTTAAGAGAGAAGGCAGGAGTAAGGGCTCTATACTGCCTTGTTCTGATTTCCCAGTCTGTTACCAGTTAAGTGGAAACTTTGAGCAAGTTACACAATCTTTCTGTTCCTTTGCATTCCCACCTAAAAAAAATGGGAATTTGATTCCCATCTCACAGAATTATACAGATTAAATAAAACAATGCAGATATAGAAGTTAGCACAGAAATGGAGACTACCTTAGCATCCAAGTCACTTTGGCTACTTTTATTATTTTGAGTTCAAGTGATTTGGCTCAGTACAAATGAGGTGACAATGTAAAGAAATGTCATTCTCAGTGGGAATCAGTTAATTTTGCTCCACCACCAAATGGATCTGAAACCCTCAATAAGCCTGACCTACATGTCACAGCAGGGACCAGACGCGTCCATGGAGTCCCATGTAATGAAAACAATTCCCAAAGGGAGAGGGAAAGGCAAAATGATATCTTCTTTGTTTAAAAAAAAAAAAAAGATAATACATACAATAAGACTTTCATGCTCTGAACCTGCACTATTTTTTTTGAGATCAGTTAGCACTGAGTGTCTCATCTTTGATAAAACAAAAAATACAGGTGAACAATGTAAAACCTTGCATTAGGTATTTAGTTATGTGTAATTAAGCTTGCTTTTTATGCACAGATGTGATTTCTATCAGTATAACTACAGCCCATGGAAAATCATTATCAGAAGTGCACTGAAGTGCCTAGGGCAACTGAAAATCAGAAATTTGCCCGCTCAGCTATTTTACAAATTATACACCTTTGTCAGTAGGTTCTGCATGTGCCATTATATCAGCAAATATTCTTCTCCCTCATACCACTAAATCAATTATGTGCTCATTCACATAAAGAAACCAAAACTTGATATAGTTATCTACCTCCTTTAAAAATAATAGTCATTGGGAAGATGTGGAGTTATTAATGTGTATAGTTTGGGATAATAAAAACATCTTGGAGATGGTTAGTAGTGATGGTTGCACAAAAATGTGAATGCACTTAAAATGCCACTGAACTGGTTAAAATGGTAAATTTTATGTATTATTTTACCATATTAAAAAGTCACTTTTATAATAAGGAAAAATTATTGATTGCCAAGGAAGGCCACAAAGATATAACAATATTATTCTTTCTTTAAAAACATAAGAAAAATGAAATATATTAATTAATAAAATAAAGGAAGCCTTTCTAAAAAAAATTAGCTCCAATAGAATTTAAAATTGAATTTTTTTTATCAGATCCCCCAAATTTAAAGACCCAATCCCAAAATGGGCATCTGAAATGAATAGATGAAGAAACAGAAATGGCAAACAAATATACAAAAAAATGTTCAACATCACTGGTCATCCGAGAGATGCAAATTAAAACAAAATGCTGAGATTCCATCTCACTCCAGAAAAAATGGCTATTATCAACCATATCTTCTTTTTCCAGTCTCCAGTTGATGGGCAATTGGGCTGTTTCCAAGTTTTAGCTATTATAAACTGTGCTGCTATAAACATGGGTGCGCATATATCACTGTGGTATGATTCTTTTAATTCTTTTGGAAAGATACCCAGCAGGGGAATAGCTGGGTCAAAGAAGATGTGGGTTTTTTTTTTTTTTAACAAAATGGAGTACTATTCAGCCATAAAGAATGAGAAACTAGAGACATTTATAGCTAAATGGATGCACATTGAGGCCATACACTTAAGTGAAAAAATATGATATATGTGTAAATACCGAATAGTTTCTCTGGTGTGAGAAACTGGAAGTTCAAATAAGGATCAAAACGTATAATACATAGACTTTTTTTTTCTGGTACCAGGGATCAAACTCAGGACCTTGTGCTTGCAAGGTAGGAGATGGAACCACTGAGCTAAATCACTGGCTCCCAAAATGTATAACAGATAATGTGAAATAGAAAGAAAAGGTCCAAAGAAGAAGGGGAAGGGGGAGGGGGAGGGGAAAGGAATAAATATGAGAAAAGGAAAAACTGGAAACAAAGTCTTTGTAAATAGGGAGGGGTAGAGGGGTTGAAGGGAGGGCAGGGGAATGGGGAAAAAAAATAAGAACCAAGATATATCACATAAAGGTACAAATTCCCAATGATGAATGCCATCATATTGTATACCTAAAATGTACCAATAAACTTAAGAAAAAAAAAAAAAAGAAATCAACCAAGGACTGCGCCTGCCTGGCAAGGTCCTGAGTTTGATCCCTGGTACTGGAAAAAAATAAAAAAAGAAAGAAAGAAATCAACCAACAACAAATGCTGGTGGTGCTGGGGGGGGGCGGGGAAGGAACGCTTCCCCACTCTTGGTGGGAGTGCAGACTGGTGCAAACACTGTGGAAATCAGTATGGAGATTCCTCAAAATATTAGGATTAGAGGTTCCATTTGACCCAGTATTCCCCTGCTGTTATCATCCCAAAAGAGTTAAAAACATCATACCACAGCAATATATGTTCACCCAAGTTTATAGTGGCACAATTTGTAGTAGCTAAATCTTGGAAACAATTCAAATGCCCATCAACTGAAGAATGGATGAAAAAGAGGTTTTTAAAAATATACAATGGAGTACTACTCAGCCATAAAGAAAGATAAACTTGAGACATTTATAGCTAAATGGATGCAACTTGAGACCATACTCTTAAGTTAAATAAATTTGGCACATATGTACAAATATCACATTGTCTTTTAGGTGTGAAAAACTGAAAGGGTAAGGACAAAAATGTATAATACATAATATGAAATAGGAAGAACCAGGGATTGGACTCAGGATCTTGCACTTGCGAGGCAGATGTGACGCCACTGAGCTAAATTTCAAGCCCATTCTTTGTACAGTTTTTAATGAAAATAAAAATATACAAAGATTTTTCTTTAAATCCACAAGTTAGAAGTTTGTTTCAGAGGTTCTAGTCATCTCTCTTAGGCTTTGAGGAAAAAAAAAGAATTAGGAAGAAACTGTTCAAAAGGAAAGAGAAACTGTGAAGGGGGAGGGAGGAAAGGGAGAGAAAAGGGAAAAAACAAAAAAAGAAGAAAAAATGAGAACAAAGCTTTTGTAAATAAGGGGGGAGGAGGGCTGAAGGCAGGGGAGGGGATTGGGAGAAAAAGAGGAATCAAGATA